CCGTTTCTTCGTGAAGGGGGATTTTACATAGGGAAATCAGTTGATCAGTGGTAAACTTTGTTTGGCCTTTTCATGCAAAATAAATTTCAGATTAAAATTTGGACACTTCATTTCATTAGTTATAATGCTTATTTTACATACCTTTGAACAACATACAAGCATGACCTTGATCAGTATTTAAAAAATTTTCAGGCCATCCTGTGGCTTTTGTAAGAGTGATTTATATGAGAGAGAGAGAGTGCATGCATGTGCGTGCGCGTGTGTGTGCGTGTGTGTGTGCGTGTGTGTGCGTGTGTGCGTGCTGTGTGTGTGTTGTGTGTGTGTGTGTGTGTGTGTGTGTTTTGGAAAATGACCTTTTGCTTATGTAGGATAAGAAACCCAGATGGATGCAGCAGATGACATAGACACACATGCCATACCCCCTGTGAGTTTAGTTTATTAATTTTGGCTGCACACACAGGGATGTCAGGAAGGAGCCTACCTCTCTCACCTTTCTACCCTTTTGGAAATAACTTTTATATTATATTGCTGTTAGTATTATTAATAACATTGTGATAATTATAATGTCATTGATATTAGTAGCACTAGAAAAAAAAAATCCCAATAAATTGAGGAAAGGGAAAATCAATGGTAGGCAAATTGGCTGACTAGTTTAACTTCATGTTGGCGTAACATTTTTGGAGCCATCTATGAATAAACACATTTCACAAAATAGAACTACAGTGAACATTACTTTTTTTTCTCTCTTTCTTTCTTTCTTTTTTTTGGCATTGGGTTCACTGTAAAATCTTGGGATTACATTCTCTAAATATTTTCTAAGTACAGTGTAATTCACCATTATATTTGATGTAGACTTGTAAAAGATTTTTATTTTTATAGTATGGTTTGGTAGAGATTAACTGAAGGAGTTATGAAAGAGTTTTCTCAATTCTCTCTCATTTATTTTGATTCATTCAGAATTTAGAGAACGTTTTTGATAGTGAAAAATTAATAGATCACTTCATTGTTAATATATTATGGTGCTTGCAGTTTAATGGCACTGTAAGCAGACAATGGAAGACATATGTTTGGTAAGTTAAAGAATGTATTATTGCAGTATAATTGTGTAATGCCAATACATTCCACAGTGTGTGTATGTATGTGTTTGTTTTTACATGCACATGTCTGTATAAATGTAGGGATATATTATGTTTATATGGATATGATTTATAAATTGGCAGTAGCTCTGTCTGTAGTGCAATAAATGTAATGCACTATGCATTACATACAGTTGCTACTAGACAAAATAATAGTTTAGTAATGTAAACTGCTGTAATGGTAATTCTCATCTTCATTTTTGGTATTATGAAAGGATAGTATTATTATTTAGATTCAAATATTTCATCCACGCTAAATTTTATGGCTTGGCTGGTTTGGTTTTGTCCTCTTAATTATATATGATTTATTTGTGACTATTTATTATGAATATCTCAATAAAATTTTCTTGTTTTAGGGTCAGGTTTCTCTAATTTTAGCTCTGCTATTTTTGTAGGTAACTTATTTTTTATTTAATTTGGCTTGTAATATTGTTCTTCCAACATTCTGACAAAATGCATTATTGTGAGTAACCCGTTTCCAGCAGAGAGGGCATGTACACATATGCCATATTTGTTAAATATGTTCACACATAGATAGCTCCACAAGTCACCAAGAAATCAATTACTATTCCTACCTATTACACCTGTCCTCTCTTCATCCCCTATTGCTGTTAGTGTTTTGATGACATAATCATAATGTTGGTAATGTCAGCATCAGAGAAAAAAAAATCCAAAAATTCAAGGGGTGGGGAAATAGGGGAGGCCACATAACGTCTACTAATTGACTTAGTGGTGACTGAGTACTTGAGCCATCTATAGTATGCATAAACAAAATTTAGAAAAAAAAAACTATAGTAAACAGTATATGCACCTGTTAGCAGTGAATTGAGCTACTTTATTCTTCATTACTTTGTATTCTTAAACTATGCAATAGTGAGATTTGCAAAGGTAGTTGTATTCATTATTCAAATAGTTTTTTTCATATTCATTAACTACAAATCTTTTTGTGGTCACCTTAAAGATTTATTTGAATTATAACTTTTTCTAAAAATGTTTAACTTTGATGGATCCTTTTGCAGATTTCTGGTGATTTAAAATTATCTTTAAACATTTCTGCTATTAGCAATTGGTCATATATTCCATGCCCATTATTATTTTGTATGATGCTCTATGATTCTGTAATAACCGACCAATGATAAATTTTTTCTTTTGTCTTTCAGCCACAAAGCCAGGCGAGAGTTTCAACGCTGAGCTGATTCTTTTAGATGTCCAAGCACATCTAGGAAGCCCAAATGCCGAAGAAGATAAGGAGTATAATCTTATCGTAAAGTTCTTGAGTGGTGATGCATTAACAAGTGAAATAATAAAAAGGTGTGGGTATCACATCAAAGAATTTATGATGTACTCTGAAGTTGTGAAGGAATTAAACGACTTTCAAGCCGAAAGGGCTAACAATGAATTCCGACTAGACATCCCCGAATACATATATGGTAAATGTACTGATAAGGAATATGTCCTAGTTATGCAGAATATTAAGGTGCTGGGGTATGAAACTGGTCCTAAGAAAGAAGGACTTGAGTTCCACCATGCAAAATTGGCTGTGAATCATATTGCACGATTGCATGCTGTGTCCTATGCTTATGATAAGTCCCATAATTTTCTGGAGAAGTACTCATGTTTCAAATTTAGCAATGCAATTAGCAGTTTTTTCAAGCCAGTTGTATGGGCATCTTTATTAAATAGCATCAAATTTCTAAAAAGTAAGAAGGGTTATGAAGATATGGTTCATAAGTTAGAGACAGGGAAAACAACACTCCCTGTTAAGTTTGCAGCAATGTGGGATGATCAAACAAGACATAAATTTTTATGTCTTACCCACGGGGATTTTTGGAACAGTAATTTGATGTATAAGCACAGTGAAGGAATGCAGGATGAAATTCGTAAGATTGAATCTTTGAAACTCATTGATTGGCAAATATCTCAGTGGAATAATCCAGTGTTTGACCTCCATTATATGTTGAATACATCTACCTCATTTGAAATGAGAAGAGACCATGCAGAAGAAATTTTAAGACATTATCATGCAACCTTTACAGATGCAACAAATAAACTAGGTACCCCTGTACCTAATTGGAATTATGAACAATTCAGAGCAGAGTTTGACAGAACATCACTTGTAGGTTTCCTCATGGGAATGTGTCTCATTCAAGGAACACTAAGTAAAGCTGGAGAAACTATCAACCATTCAGGGTCTACATGCCTTAATAATGCTTGCTGCTATCCTTGTAAGGTTGTGGTTGACAAAATCAAATCTGGCTTGGCCAAAATAATTGTATCGTTTGCATTCAAACCATCCTCAGAATACTTTATGCGAGCAAGTGTTAAAAGTGTATTGAGTCCAATTGGCCAAGAGTTGGTAGAGGGGAGTAATGAGGTACTGAATAGACGTCTTCTGGACCTCTTGACAGAAGCAGATGAGAAGGGAGTACTTGATGTCCTCATGTTGTAAAAGTACATGACATAATGTCCAATATACTGTCTTTCTTGTCATTCAGGTAATTTAACATTTTGAATAAAGGTATAAGTATAAAGGGACCTCTGTTATGCAAAGAGGACCCGTAATAGATATTTTTGTACTCTGTAATTGCAAGTTATGATAGTATGCAGAAAGGCAGTGAAATTGTATTTAAAAAGTAGTTAGTAGAAAAAAAGTATTATATAGATAGTATTGGATGCAAATCAGGGGATAAGAGTACTTCTACTTTGTAGTACTACCTAATCAAAGAGAATAAGTTAAGTCGATTCTGTGCTTCCTTCATGGGATTGCATTAAGACAACATGATTATTACTCTTATAGTATACTCAAGTGTTTTAACCTTGACACAAAGCAATATTTTTGCTGCATAATTTTCATAAATATTTGTTGCTAAATTTGTAGCAGCAGTAAGGGTGTATTTTATTTTTTTAGATATTTATACCTAAAGTTTTATCAAGAATCCATATCACATTTGAGATGTGTGAATGGCTATTATGTATCATTCTTGTGCCTTAAATCAAAACCTGTAATACATGACACTTGTTTTTAACATTAAACAAATTTAAGGTTTGTTTATGCTATGGTAATGTTAAGAGTATTTTTTGAACAAAGTTGTAGTTAAGAATTATTCTAATTTTATATACAGAATTTCAGGTTTACTGAAGTCACGAAAATTTTCATATTGACTTTTTTATGTAGTGTATATTATGAATTTGGTGCATTTGTGTAGTATGCATGTAAAAGGCATATTTTTGCAAGAGAAAAGTGTACAGGATTAGATAAAAGAAAGTTTCTATTTTCCATAAATCTGTATCATAGATATATGAATGAGTGAAAGATATGCAGTGAGTCTCATATGTATGAGCAGCACATTTGTTCAGTATATATACAGAATAGTAAAGACATAAGAGAAAATATTTTGATTTATGTCTTCTTTAGGGTGAAGTAGTATTTATTTCAAAGAGATTTTTTCCTGTTGTTTTCTGTGTAGTTGTATGCTGATAATGACCAACATGTATAATGCATGTGTCAAGGCAGTTTTGATTTGTGTGGCTTTTGTTTTGTTGAGATTTTTTGTGAAATAATTGTTATTCTCACTATTTGTTCTAATATTGGCAAATCCATAGTTGGAGGGTCTTTGATAGACTTAGGTTTTATTTTTTTATTTCTCATGTATGCAGATTCATTATTGGTAAAATGATATACATCAATATTTTCAAATGCATTGCAAGAGGGTAGTGGGTAATATATAAAACTTATCACTGAATAAGTCAGTTTTTTTCATTTCTAATGATGTTGCCTTGCCATAGGTGAAAGACGTACAATAACTTTGCACATCACAGTATTATTTGAAATGTAAATTTATTTCATTCTAAATTATGTTACTTACATAGTAAATTATATTTATATTCATGAAAATGACAAGGCAAATATAAAGTTAGTAATGTAAGATATAGAGCAGGTTATCATGCAGGGTTTCTTAATGACAGAAATACTATTGTAGGCGAAGCTTATTATTGTAGCATATCCTAGAGAAATTTTTAAGTAGAGAATTTTAAAAGATTGCTTCAGCTTGAGACATTGTCCAATACAAAGGCTTGTAGTAAACTAACGTTTGGTCATAATGTTTTCTTCTTCTTCATCATGTTCTTCCAGGTTTGTCAATGTTGATATCTCTAGGTTTTACTCTTTTTGCTTAACTTGTAGATGTGGAAAAAAAACTACAAGATGTTCATTGTAGTCAGTTTCATTGTTTTGCTTTCTCTCGCTTCATTTTGTTCACCATTGTTGTCAGTTCCTTTGTCATCTCTGCTGTTTCCATTATTATTACTATTATTATACTTGAAATCACTTTTGTAATTATGGTTGTAATTGTCCACCTTTTTTTTTTTTTTTTTTTTTTTCAATTCTAATTTATTTTAATGCTCTGAAGTGTCTCATAACCCCATAAGCCACATTAGAAAAAGATAAGAAAAACATTAAGTAAAAAAAAAGAGTACTGCACACATTGTTTAAATGTTTTAAGAGACACTTTACATGTATTAAATAGATACAAATAGGGAGACAAAGCAATGATGCCTGGAATGTACATACAAGCTTGTGTCCATGTCAGCATAACAAGGACCTAGCAATGTGTATATGAAAGTAAATCATAATGAATATACAAATAGATTAATGTATTCACAATTCAATTTTACTTTACACTGGGGGTTGACACTGACAGGTATACCTTGCTCTATCCTTGTAACTACAGCATAAAAGATTTTATGGGCCTACTTTTGTGTGGCTGTAACTCAATGACTGCAGGCAGGGCTAAACAAGTTACCAAGTTGTTTAGCACACAACTTAACCCATTGGCGCCGGGTGTCACGTACGTACATGCCATGGCTGTTGTGGACCAAACGCTGGGGGCATCATGCCATGCCCATTCTCGTGCTACTGGCTCGTCGGACGGAGGTTGTTTTTCTCCACTAGTAGCGGCTTCATTTATATGGTAAAGATTTTAGGCAATGGCACCTAAAGTGAAGGTAAACCTTCAAAATTTTAATATTTTTATAAATTTTAGCAAAATAAAAGCTTTTAGGTGCTATATGTCGCTTACAAACTACCGATCGAGCCGGGCGCAAACGGGAAATTGCCGGTGCGCGACAACAAGCCAGTGCATACGTAAACTTGACGAAATTTTTACCCATCGTTGATGGGTTAAGAATAGGCTTAATTACATATTATGGAATAGGAAGTTCCCCAGTGTGAGTGAAGGTTTTACTATGACATGATAGGCTATCATCTGGTGTGAATAGATTGGAATGACACGTAACAAAGGAAGGAGGGTCAATCTGCCAGTTCATTTGCCAAGGTCCAAATATTTTGAAATGGAAGTGGCTTTATTTACTTTATTCTCCTTCTCTTCCTCTTCATTACATATCTTTAAAACATATTTTACATTTAAAAACATCTTCATATATTCAGAGTTTTAAATCATCCCTATGCACAAAAACATTCTTATATTTTTCTTGATAATATCACTATAAAATATTTTAAACTTACAATGAGAGAGCAGTCAGAAAGGGTTTATCTTTAGTTAACTTCCCATCTATGGTCAGTAGGAAAGGACGAGTTACTGAAGAATAATACAGAAAAGGGAAAGAAAATACAAGTGTAATACACACCTGATTTACCAAACAGTACATGAGTATTACCTTTAAAACTACATTTTCTGCTTTGTCCTCATTGTTTTGCAGTGTATTTAGTTATGCTGATGTAAACTGTTCTCCTATATGGGAGTATAGTATTTGGTTAGTGAATATGACTCTTTAATATATTTAGCAAGTCTCATCCTAAAATGTGTTTAGGTATATAAAAACGGAAGAAAATCAATAACTCATCTTGAATGTCATGGAGAAAAATCTTCTGTAGTCATTTAAAAAATTGGTTGTAAATTTATTTTAAGTTACAAGCATCTTGTTTAAGTATTCTTTTTTTTTTTTTTTTTTTTTTTTTTTTTAATTCTTTTTTTTGTGTGTATTCTTGTATGCCTGGAATCAAATATAAAGTACATTAAGATCTTATTTAAATGCAAGATTTTTGTGGCTCAGTTTCTCAAGAATTGAAATATCAAAATTTATGCACAAATGTTATTGGTTGTATGATAGACTTTTTATAATTTCCGGTCATAGATTTCTGTTATTTCCGTATACATTAACAACCTGGATATTTTGTTTAATAACCAAAAATGCTAGTCGTGTGGGTTGATTTTAGTTAGACAGCTAATGGAAAATATTGATAAGTTGAATGAAAGCTTATGCTTTCACATTGCACAAGAAGTTGAATATGTAACTACTATAATTACATAAGACTTATTGACAGCAAAGGAATTATTTGTCTTGAAACCATGCAGTGGTGTGGTGATCTGCAGAGTCAAGGGCTGTTTTACCTACAAAGTTTTTTGTAATCCTTTTCTCTATTAGTGAGGGGGATTTTGTCATATTGGAAGTAAGGTGTGTATATAAGGGTCTCAAAAGTTTTAAGGTGGTCACCATTTGTGTTGCAATGGAAGTATTCTAAAAATGTTCCAAGATATTTACATATTGATATTTTGATGTAACCGATACATTGTCTCTTATTACATTTTGGTCTAAGGGCATTTAAATAGGGGAGAGGGAGATTATAGTTCCAAATCATATGGGAATTTTCCATTGGGACCATTTATAATTTACAGTCATTTACACAACTGTGGTTTCAGTCAATCTTTAAAAAAGTAGGAATTATATAAAGATTAAAGAATACTATTTAATGTTGCATGTGTTTTCTCTACTACCTCCTATTAAAAAGAGAGAAAAATTAATCTGTTTGCCAAGTTAAAAAAAAAAAAAAAAAAAAAAAAAGCAGGTGGACCACTTTAGTTTTAAATAGGTCTTCTTGGTATGACATAATTTAACTGGTTGGTTGTTGTGTTGTCTGTTATTAGCATCTAAAAGCAATATTTATATAATTGATAAGGAAGAAAATAGATTGTAGTGTTTACATGATGTGAATCTCAGTAATTCTCAAGGTATTGTTTCCTTGTAATTTGATCCTAAAATTTATTTATTTTTATATCTGCTCTTAGTCTGCAGTTATGTAATGTTACTTGTAAGGTAGAGGGAAGTATATTGTGTAGTAAATTATTTACATATTGCAAATTTGGTGTTATTACTTGTATCTAAGGTTTCCTAGAATTTTCATGCCATATATTAAGTATGCCCAGTAGTTTTAAATTTTGATAATACCCACTAAAAATGCACAAAAAGTACTTAACCCCTCCATAAACAAACTTTTGTTCTGTAGAGATTTATAATTTTGTTGATGTCACTAGGAAGATATCCCCAAAGATTTTTTTTTCTTCTTTTTTTTCTTTTACTATCTTTCTTTCTCTCCCCATCCTGTCACATTGAATATTAACCCACTGCCACTGGGGATGATATATATGTACATGCTATGTCCACTGTGATTGTAATTTATTAATTGTGTGTAAACAGATGGCTCTAAAAAAATTATTACCAGTCCTCTCTATTTCACCTGTTTTCCGTTTTCCTTGATTTGCTGGAATATTGTTATTTATCTTCTACTGCTACTAGTAATTTCAATAACATTACAATGAATTTATTAATAGCATTAGAAAAAAAATATCAAAAGCTGAAGCAAAGGGGAAGTTATATAAGCATACTTCTTGACTCCTTGGTGACTATGCATTTGTGGAATCATCAATGAGAAACAATTCACAAAACAAAACTATAGTAGACATTGCATATTCCCAGCAGCAGACATGGGGATAGCTGATATTTCAATAGCAGTTCAACATCCCTTGTGTTATAATTCAGTAAAAATAGATGTTGAAAGTAGTATTTCTTTCTTTTCTTCATTAGGCAGCGGCTGGAGAAGAAATTTTGGCTAAATGGTAGGAAAAAAGTACATGGCTTATCTTATAATGGGATCAAAGGGATAATGAGCAGATAATACTACTGCATGTAAACTTTTCACTTTTGTGATTACAAACTGCCATAATATACAGGAAATGAAAAAGCATTAGTTTTACCTGTACCTTCCAGTCTTTGTACTTTTTTACTGTTTAATTGTTTTAATTATTTCTGGTGTGATGTGTCTTTGCTGTCTATGCTGTTTCAAATAAAATTTCAATAATTTTAGTTCTCTTCACTTCCACAAATTTTTGGTACAAAAAAATACATTTAGGAATTACTGTATATATTTATTCAAATTCCAGTTTTAAGAATCTAAATACATAAATATACCACACTTGTTTTCCAAATAATAATAATAATGATAATGAAGTGGTTCCATGAGTAAAGTATTACTTGAAAAAAAAAAAAAAAAAAAATCCATAGACTTGTAAAATATGAATTAATTGTACGTCATGTATCGAGGTGTAGCCGAGAATTTTGCATAGGCCTTGATGACCTTGTTTACAGCATCAAGGAAATCCTTTTCTGTAGCAACCTTCCTACGTGCTCGAATGGCATACATACCAGCTTCTGTGCAGACAGATCGGATCTCAGCACCTGTGGACAAAGTTTATTTTATAGTGAAAATTCACTGTTAAAACAAAATTACGGGTAGCTGAAATCGCTTTCTTTATTTCTTATAATAATGTTTCTCTATTATGTAAACAAATTTCTACCTGAAGACTTATATTTCTTTAATGTATTGCCATCCTTTTACGCTTTTGATTTACTAAAGAAACAACCCAGTAAGTACCATTCATCTGAAATCACCAATTCAACAGCTTTTGCTATCTGTATATATGTTCTCCTTTTCTGCACACATCTTTCAAATAAAGTTTAAATCCACTAATGTAAACTTTACCAAACTTTTATTCCATCTATTCTTAAGGAATTAGTAACTTACCTGTACTGTTAGGACAAAGACGAGCAAGAAGATCAAAACGAATGTCCCTTTCAACGGACATACTCTTGGCATGGATTTTGAAGATGTGAGCACGACCTTCTAAGTCAGGGAGACCGAATTCAACTTTCCTATCCAAACGGCCTGGTCTCATCAAAGCAGGGTCCAAGGTGTCTGGTCTATTTGTGGCCATGAGAACCTACAATATTGGGAGAACATTTAAATTTTAATTTTTGAAACAAACAAAATGTCACTACAAACTTGATTAAGACAACATTTGAAAGATTACTTAATATCAACAAGTATGCAAATAAATAACATTACTTTCCCAAACTAAGTTTTCCTCTTTACCTTGATATTTCCACGTGGATCAAATCCATCCAACTGGTTAATCAACTCTAACATAGTTCTCTGCACTTCATTATCACCTCCTGCACCATCATCAAACCGGGCTCCACCAATGGCGTCAATTTCATCAAAGAAGATGAGACAAGCCTTCTTGCTGCGGGCCATCTCAAAAAGCTCTCTCACCATTCGAGCTCCCTGAAAAAATCAAGTGTGGGAGTGTTGTTTGTTTGGTTCAAAATAGTGAATAAAAATGAAAACAAATATGAAAAATCAATAACACAACCAAGTCTTGATATCTGGGGGGAATAAAAAAAAAAAAGCCAAAAATATTTATATTTAATATAATACTACTCTAAATAAGAAAATGAATAAAGTTAAAGAAAACAGTTCCTTTTATATTTAAATTTGAAGAGCAAATAAATATTTAGGTTCCAAACCCGTAAACCTAATTACTGCTCAGTAGAAAAAACAGGAATATGACATGACAACTCATGCAGCAAAAGTAAACAATAACTTTATACATTTTTGTTTTAACTCCAATTTGAAAAAAAAATACCATGCACTTTTGGTCCTACAAAAATAGAAAATGATATGAGGTCCATATTTAATCCTGCTTGGCATCAAATTGGTACAGGTACAGTATTCTCTTGGTTAATTGTTTAGCCCTTAACCTCATGAGGGCCCTGAGGGGTGGACCTTTTATCTTCCCCACATATTTCAGTTTTACCATGGTAAGTTATGAAGACTTTGTACCCTTATTAGGGGCATTGACGCTTGCCCCTTTATCAAGTAACTTCCTTGAATCTAACTCCTCTGGTTCACCGACCCCTGACTCTCCTTTGATCATGGCTCTGACCACTGCTTCCTACACCCCCTTCCTCGATATGTGCAGTCAACTTAACCCATCCCAAATCATCTACCCAGGTTATAACTTGACTTTCAAAACACACTCTTTTCCTCACTGCCAATACCCTCCACCCTATCGCCTGCACAATCTGTCTTCATTTTCTACTTCTTCCTCCTCCCCTAATACAACTCTCCAACCTTAATGCCCTCCTCCCCAGAGTAACACCTAACTCCACACCTCCATCTTCCTCCTGTCCTTTACAAACCTTTTGAATACTTTAGACCAGCCAAGTGGGATCGATTTTTTGTGATTCCCCCAACAGCCCCTTACTCTGACAATACCCTCCTCTTTCAACAATGCCTCTAAAATCAAGTAAGCAAAGTTTCCTTCTGCAGCTGTCCTGATTGCTCACACCTTATCACAGTTACATCCTAATTCTAAGTCCATGCACTATCTACCCTCGCTGACCTCACTGGCAAACCAATACTTGCCCAACCTCACTCCTCCCTTAATATGTACTGGAACTGTTTTCATCAACTCAGCTGACTTCCCCATCTGTGGCAAAGATTGGTCAAACTGTGAAGACAACTTATTTGCCTGTCTCATTGCCTACAATGCATTATCAGTACAGTGCTACACAATTCCCCGCAGAACCTTAATTTTACCAGGATTACCTTCTATAGACCTGACCTTCCCCACAAGGTCTAAATAGGAGAATTTTTTCATATGAGACCCTATCAACCCACACACTGTCAAGGTAAAAAATGTTTTTGAATCATTCCCTACTCCAGAACCACCCTTCACTGCACTCCCCTCCCCTCTAGCCAAGTTGTCTCAACATTTTCCTCAGTATTAATTCCCCCTACTCCCACCTTCATACCTCTACCTCCCTTATGCCCTCAGTCAAATCCTTTTTCCAGTAGGGACAGACACTTCTGTGTCTGTCCCTACTCCTCACTTCACCGATTGCACCAGACAATCCATCTTCTACCACATCCCTTCCCACAGCTACATCATCTACTCCTTAGATGACTATCTCCTCATTAAAATAATCCTTTGTTTCCCAAACCTCCCCACCCAACTCCCCTCCAGAAACCCTTGAGGACAACCAAAATTTCCTAAGCATGACCCTAGAGTATGCTTCTCTCATCCATCCTCCAATTTCTCTACCCCCACTCCATCTACATTCAAAGTGACTGCCGACATCCATCAATCCTCCTCATATTTTCCATACCCCTCTTATCTTTACTCCCTCCCAAATACCCCATCCTCTCCTCCACCCACACCAAACTCCCTTCCTTCCCCACTATCCCTTCCACTACCTCCTGGACACATATGTGAATCCTTTTTTTCTTTTTCTTTTGTTTCTTTTTCTTCACAATGTTCTTCGCTGGATTTCACCTCTTCTGATGAACCTCCTGATACTACATTTTCATCTCTCAGCCAACCCCCTACTTCAATCTCCAGGTACACCTCCTCCTCCTCCTCCTCAGCCATCCATCTCTACCCCTATCACTTGCTGACTGCAACACAATGGGTCTTCTATAGCAAAACATTTGAGGCTTTAGTTTTCACAGACCTGATCTTCGTCACATCACACCTTCCTACAATCCATCCATTACATCTTCTAGAAACCTTCCAAATACAAGTACCGATTCCAAATCATCATTTTATATCATCCACTCTCTCTCTTTCTATCTCCTTTTATATTTGTACACCAAACACCACACACTATAGCTCCCTTTCAAACCACTATCCCTAACACAATTCTTTGCATCTTTCTTCACTGCTGGATCACAACTGTTTCTATTTACTTTTCTCCACTGACTTTAATACCTTTGAAAGTTTACCTTTTCATTTCAATCACCATCCTGAGAACTGCCTTTACAGCCATTCCATGAGCTTCCCCTATTCCATGGTGGAACACTGAATGCTTCAAAGCACTTTGAGTAAGTGTGCAGCATAGAGCAAAATACCCCCAGCCAATCAATTCCAAGCTCTAATCAATTTTAAAAGAGCATCAGCTCAACTACACTGCACAATCCAAAGCTCTATCAACACCAGCTTGCAAAATTACACTTCCACAATTACCTCCACCTATTTTTACAATGTGTCATAGAATCCACAAACTAGCAGGAAAACATCCCCCTCACACTGCCCCAGTCCTCCATATCCGTAATACCCTCATTTCTGAACCTTCCTAAGTTGCTACTGAACTTGCTGCATATTTCAGCTCTCACCTTTCTCCCCACTTCTATTTCATTAAAACAGCCAAGGAATGCACTCCATCCCCTATCCTTATCCTCTACAGAACCCTACCATCCCCCTTCTCCTCTGCTGAACTCCTTTCAGCCTTACTGTCATGCCACAACACACACGAAGGCCTTGATTGCATACATTACCATCCATATACAATCAAAAACAATATTTGGACAATTGGAAACTTTCCTCATCACTGGCTTGAAGCACTTATCCTACCTTTCCTTGAAGCTAATAAATCTGGCACCCTCCCTTAAGACTACCATCCCATTGCTCTGACCAGTTGTTTATGCAAATTGCTAGTAAGAATAGTCAATCTATGCCCAATATGGTACCTAGAATCCCAAAGCCTCTCTTCTTCTCAATCTGGATTCCATCATGCTCGAAACACAGCTGACCTATTTGTACATTTTAAATATTACATCACATCTGCCTTGCACACCATAACTCAGTATCAGCCATTTTCTTCAACCTGGAAAAGGCATATCATACTACATGGCAATACCATATTCTTATACTGCTATCACCTCATGTCAATGCAATGGAACTTGGGTGTATTCATTAACTCATTCCTTTCTAATCGTACCTTCTGAATTGAATTTTCCTCTTCTTCATCAACAGATTTTTACATATTGGAGCCTCTGCCTACTACCCTCACTTTAAAACCTTTCTCTTCACGTGCTGGCAGTCTTTCTGGTCTAGCTTTATCACTAATAAACTGCATAATACAAAATCTTCCATCTCCATTTCCCCTTGGTCAATACCAATCCATACAAATAGACGCTGGGGAACTGCTCTGGCCCACTTATGCACTGGACATGCATTCTTATCTCATGTCAAAATCTGATCCACCTCTATGCAACTCACGCAATGTTCCTCTTTCAGTCCCACACATCCTCCTATCCTGTTTCTGCTTTACAGCAACATGTACCTTTGCTTTTCCTCACTTTTTCTCACTTCCCTGACCTCGTAATCTATTGGACATCTTGGAATACCCTACCTTTTCCTTTGACAACTTATTCTCCTTCCTCAGACACTCTGTCAGCTCCCCCTCTCAACCCTTTTCACTACCATACTACCCTTTAGTACTGTTCAACCTTTAATTTCAACCTAATCATTAACTAATTCCTAACCCTTTCTGCTACTATACTGTACCATAGTGATATATGACCTTTAAATCTAGAACTTTTACTTTTTTTAACCCCTTGGATCCAGTTACTTCATGGTAATCACATTAACGAAAATACGGGCAATAGGCTTATGTGAGTGGCCACTATGCCAGGTGGCTTGTAGGCGGGGCACACACAACCACTCGTTTGCAGTGACAGGACTCTATGCCTCCCCTTTGCAATGTAATTTTCTCTTTTTAACAAAATCAGCTTCAGCTTTTGGCCATGTTCAAATGTCCATATTTGCAATTTGATTTGCTTTTTCCAGATGGTAATAGACTCAATGCAAAAAAAAGAAAAATATGTAATTCTTTTTTTTTTTTTTTTTTTTTTTTTTTTTTTTATAATACTCAATTTTCAGTAATAAATCCTGTGCTGCTGGTTACAGTGGGCAAGAATACTTTGCTGAGCATGGGAATGTGCCCTCACTGAAGCCAGCACTCTTCTACTCCTGGCTTACAGTCACTGCATTCCACACTAACTTATCAAGGGAATCATGCAAAAGCTCCTTTCTAAATGCCAAGTAAGTCCAATCACACTCCAAGAGGTTTGTGCACTCATGCCGAGTATTTTTTATCTCGTCTTCAGCCAAAGTGCTCATGATGGTAAGTTCATATCCCACAGCCAGATTTTCCTGTGATGGCATGTTCACATCACCCACCCCTTAATTCACATCAACCAGATTGAATGGGTTAACCATTAACCATAAGAACATCAGAACATATCAACCTACCTCTCCAACATATTTCTGGACTAATTCTGAGCCGATAACACGAATAAAGCAGGCATCAGTTCGGTTAGCCACTGCACGAGCACAAAGAGTCTTGCCAGTTCCTGGGGGCCCAAATAACAAGACACCCTTTGGAGGCTCAATACCCAGGTTAACAAATCTCTCAGGCTGTGGGGAAAAAAGGAAACAATATTAAATTCACAATCTGATACAATCTTTGCAAATAGTATGCATACTAATTTAGTGACATCATGGAAGTTTGCTGGAAAACATTAATCTATCCCATATCAGTATCAGAATTTACATGACAACTGAATTCTTGGCTGAGTTTTTGGCCCAACAATGGGTGTCAAGAGAGATTGAATTTTTGGTTTTGACTAAGTTAATCATGGTACACTAGAAAGTATGGGAAAGTCAAATACCATGCAAATACCAGCAAAGGTACATTTTTGCAAACTCTCCTTCACACTTTGTAAGACATGGCAAACAATGAATGAAATCACTGAGCACAGTGCAACCTCAATTATGGCTAATTGCATATGGAGAGTTGTGCTTTTCATGAACGTAGAGGTTATTTGTGTCATAGCTCATTCTTTACATAATGCCCTATCATTTTGACATGACTAAGCCAATACAAAATTACTCAATAATCAAAGCATTTGCTGTAGTCTCAGGCGTGTGACATGTAGCATTTGCTGTTGGAATTTCAACAGCAAATGCTGCTGTTCACTAAAATGCTGGCTAGATTTCTGCAAGATTTAGATTCAACCTCATTTGATCATGGCATGTTACTTGCACATTGACAGTTTATTCATAAACTCACATGTAAGAGGGGAGTCTCAACTACTTCCCGAAGCTTTTCGATCTGCTCCTTACATCCTCCCACATCAGAGTAAGTGACATCTGGCTTCTCCTCAACTTGCATCATAGTCACAGAGGGATCAATCTTGGGAGGCAGAGGAATGTGAATCTGATACTTATTACGATCCACACTGAAAAGAAAGTTATAATGACAATTTTGCTGTTCAGCAATGTTATGTGGTATCTTTTAAATTACAGGTGTGCTATTTTATGTGCTATGACTCTGAACATTCCAACTAATGAAATTGAGTTACCAAACTCTGTAAATATACACTGCAAATTACTAAAATATTCTATGCCAAAAAGGTCATCAATTAGAAATCATACGTAGGAAGAAATGATAAATATATAAATTCAAAATGCTACAAAACTTACCCCACCCTCATTCCTTCTTCAATATCTGTAGGTGCAACAGAATCAGCAAGATCCACCACAAACTTTGCAAACTGCTTAACATTAATTATGTATTTGGGATCCTCTGAATCAGCATTGATGATCTTTGTGCATCTTGCAACCTGAAAAAAGTGGATATTATAATGTTGTATTCAAGACCATAAGAACTTACAAATAACAAATTTATCTAAATTTAAAAGCATTTTTTTTATATTTGCCCTACTTTTGAGCATTTCAAGACTATAAAATACGCAAAAGACTGTTCCCACTCTATAAAATTTTGTATGTTATCAGGCATCTAGCACTGTTTCATGAATTACGGTATTGCATTTCACAATTTAAGTATTACTCAATCCAATTCATCTGAACAATAAAAAAAAAAATTGGAAATAAGATAAATAAATATAAAGGAAGCATCTATCCCTTTGACTACCTTCATATCCAGAAAATCCTTCCCCTTAGTTCAAATAATTCTAAACAAGGCACTTACCTGAAGTGGTTGCTCATTCTGGAGGGTTTGTTTATCGGCTGCCAAATCCCACAGTGCTGGTGGGGCCAGACCAGTATCAGACTCCTTGATGCCAGTGAGGTCATTCACTTTCTTCACTGCCTTTTGGATGTCATCTTCAATGTTCTTGATGACTTTGGTGTATGGTCCTTGGCCCTGTCAATCATGGAAGACTTAGACATATAATAGAAAAGATGGGCATAGAAAAGAGGAGAGAGAGAGAGAAGAGAGAGAACGGAGAAAGAAAAGAGAAAGAGAGAAGAGAGAGAGCAGAGAGAGGAAAGAAAGAAAGAGAAGAAGAGAGAGAGAGAGAGAAGAGAGAGAGAGAGAGAGAGAGAGAGAGAGAGAGAGAGAGAAAGAGAGAGAAGAGAGAG